TGTTTAACAGTGTCGGCTAGACACGGATGTTCTGCCTGCATCAGGAGCACCCGCGTCTCCCGGCCACGTGCTCCTGCCCCGTGGGCAGGGATGCAGGCCTTTCCTTGTGTTTAGGAAGAGTATAGTTGTTCCTTCTTTTTTTTTTTAAGTTTTTTTTTTTTTTAACTTATTCACTCGAGACACAGAGATACAGAGAGAGAGCATGAGCAGGGCAAGAGGCAGAGGGAGAGGGAGAATCAGGCTCCTCACTGAGCAGGGAGCCCGATGTGGGGCTTGATCCCAGGAGCCTGAGATCATGACCTGGGCCGAAGGCAGACGCTTAACCATCTGAGCCACCCAGGCGCCCCAAGTATAGTTGTTCCTTTATGTCATTAGTGGGAGCTAGTAAGAATGGATGCCAGTTTAAAAAATTCCTTTCTGTTTTTGTTTTTTTTTTTTAAAGACTTTATTTAGTTGTCAGAGCACAAGCAGGGGGAGTGGCAGGCAGAGGGAGAATCAGGCTGCCCGTCGAGCAGGGAGCCCGATGTGGGACTCAATCCCAGGACCCTAGGACCACAATCTGATCCGAAGGCAGACACTCAGCCGACTGAGCCACCCAAGCGTCCCTATGTTTTAGCTTTTTATTGTGAGGATTTCTGATGAAATCACAAGTAAAGAGCACAGCATGGTGAAGCCCGGTGCCTATCAGCTGCCTACATGGGGGCCCGCGGTGACGGTCTAGACATAAATCCAGACTGGCAGCATTGCAACTGTGAGGGACCTAGCAGGTGTCTCTACAAGACACGGGTGCTGTCAGAAACCACGGTGCAGCCGTGGCCACACATGGGGCCAGGTGCTGCTGGTGGCCATGATTCCCCAATTGCCATGTGACATTGTTCTATGAGTAGTTTGCTCAAATCAGGATTCAAACAAGTGTCTCACTTCCAACTCTCGTGTTTCCTTGTTGCCTCCTGGGTTTCGCACGGTCTGTAGGGTCTGTGGGATTTGTTGGGAATTTGTGGGCAGTGTCCCCTGTTGTCGTGACTGTGGACCTGCCCGCGTGTCCTGTCCGCTCAGGTGCGTGGCAGGAGCGCGCCTCGGCTGCGTCTGACGCGCCCGGGTCAGCTTGCACTCGGTGCCGCTGGTGTCGGCCGGGTCCGTTGTCGTAGAGCACCCTGGCGGCACCTCGAGCAGCTGGTACACAGCACTTGTGTCCGCGTGCATGTCCCCCTGTGGCCTCCTGCCCTCCAGCTGGGGCTCTGACCCCGTTGGCTGTGCACGTAGGCGTTTCTGTCACTGCTTATCAGTGAGGTTCCTTGGTAGTCACCTTAGCTGTTTCTTTTAAGTTTTGGAGTCCATGGCTTCAAAGCGTGAAGTCATTTTCTTCTCTTGTGTTTCTTCCAGAACCGTGCCGATAGCAGTCTGGTCGAACTCACGGGCTGGTGCCGTGGCACTTGCCTGGGTTTTTCTTTGCTTTCTGATCTGTTCAGAGTTTTTTTCCTCTCCTGGAGTCCACTTAATCCAGAGTCCCTTGGCCATGGGTCACAGCCACTGGTGATGGGCTCTCGTGCCCAGCCCAGCCCTCGCGCTGTAGCCTGGCTTCACTGTCTAGGTCTGGGCCCCTGGCCGCCCCCCTGCCCTGTCCACCTCGCCTGTGCAGGCCCCTGATTCTGGCTTGCAGGAAAACCGGGCCCCCTGTCCTCAGGTGACCTTGCTGCTTTGCGGCCTCCCCACCATCCACCGGTCCAGGGGCGGGGATGGCAGGGTGAGCGGGGCCGACCGCTGCTGTGTTTGCAGTGGAGACCTTTGGCGACCTGGCATTTGGTGACATCTTCCTGCACCTGCTCATGGGGAACCTGGCGCTGCTGGCTGACGAGTTCGCCCTGGAGGACTTCTGCAGGAGCCTCTTTGATGGCTTCCTCCTCACAGCCTCGCCCAGGTGCCTGCCTTCTGCCTGTGTGCTGCCAGGGCTGGGGGGCTGGGGGCGGGGGGTGTGGCACAGCTAGGCAGGGGGGCAGGTGTGGGGGTGTGTGGCCCAGCTGGGCGGGGGGGGGGGGCGTGGTGTGTTGCCCAGCTGGGGGGGGGGCGGGGGTGTGTGACACAGCTGGGCAGCGGGGGGCGGGGCGTGTGGCCCAGCTGGGCGGGGGCAGCTCTGGGTCACTGCAGTGCTGCTGTGGCCTCTTCCAGGAAGGAGAGTGTGCAGCGACACGTGTTGCGGCTCCTCATCCACCTGCACCACCGGGTGGCCCCGTCCAAGCTGGAAGCCCTGCGTAAGGCACTGGAGCCCACCGGCCAGGTGGGTGCCCCAGCCTTCGGCCTGTGCCAGCCTGACCCTCTCCTTGTGTGCATGTCCCCTGCGTGGACGTGTCCCGAGTGACCATGGGGTCTGCTCCGAGTAGCCCTGGGGCCCGCCCCAAAGCCAAACACTTTCCCCCGCAGAGTGGAGAGGCGGTGAAGGAACTTTACTCTCAGCTCGGAGAGAAATTGGAGCAGCTAGAGCACCGAAAGCCCAGCCCGGCCCAGGCTGCAGAGACTCCGGCCCTGGAGCTGCCCCTCCCCACTGTGTCCGCTCCGGCTGGGCTCTGAGGCTTCACCGGGGCTGCTCAGGACTGGGCAGGGCCCCTGGTGGGTCTGGGACCTTGGCTGGCCAGAAGGAGCTCCCCTGGACTTGGAGTGTCAGGGACCCCACCTCTCCTGAAGGCAGACTGGCTGCTCATGGGGATGGGCTGGATGGAGCTGAGCACCCCCCACCCTTGGATGTCCTGCACGTGGGGCACCCTTCCGCTGTGCCTCAGCCCCACCCTGACCTGGATCCTGGGACCTGTGTTCTTGCTCCTCATAGGCCCCTGTCTGCTGCTTTGGAGGACAGCTCTGGGTCTGATGTGCCCAGCTGGCCCCTTGAACTCACTCCCAGGCTGTGGAAAGCTTCTGGCTCATTCCTGCCTCCTGTTGTGGGTTTCCACTTCTGTAGGGGAGGCAGATTGGCAGCAGTTGGGATCAGGAAAAAGCCACCTTTTTCCATGGGGAGAGGGCAGGAGGACCCAGGCCTGAGGGAAGCGGTGGGCCCAGCCCTGTTGGCACCGATTGGCAGAATCATGTGGCTTGTTGGGTCCGATCACCTGCAGATTGAACCTGGCTTCTTCTGAGGAGCTCCTGAGTGTTTCACAGTGGATGGTCTGGCCAACCCATGGCCCCACAGGCAACGAATTGTTTCTCCCCTGGCCAGCAGCACCCCGTGTAGCAGGCGTGGCTGAGGAATGGCTGCCTCAGTTTACCCTTGGAGCAGTGTGCTCAGCTGCACCGTCTTGGTCAAGTGAGAGCTGTTGCACACAGTGAGACTTTCGCTTATGTAAATAAAAGGTGTTTGGGTAAATCCAGTGGATGAGCTATTCCTGGGCATGCCTGAGGGTTGGATGTAGTGCAGGTGGACAGGTACTTTTTTTTTTTTTAAGGTTTTATTTATTTATTTGACAGGGAGGGAGAGAGAGCACAAGCAGGGGGAGTGGGAGAGGGAGAAGCAGGTTTCCCACCAAGCAGGGAGCCCGATGCGGGGCTCCATCCCAGGATTCTGGGATCGTGACCTGAGCTGAAGGCAGATGCTTAACACCTAAGCCACCCAGGTACCCCGGGCAGGTACCTTCTTAAGGGCATTTCTGCCTTTGTGGGCCATGGTCTGGATGCTTGGCCCTGTCCCTGGGAGGAGGGACATTCTTAGGAGACCTCTGTGGGTGCAGGTGCTGGGGGGTGGTCCCCCTCCAATTTCCCTAAGCAGCAGCCAGGCAGGACCTCACCCCCGCCCCCCCCATGCTGGGATCGTGGGACACCCGGGAAGCCTGAGAGTACCACCTGCCCATGTGGTGGGTAAAGTGCCCAAGGCACCTGCCCCTGTGCAGAGGGGGCAGTGGGTCCTGGGGAGCCAGGGCCCACAGCTGGAGAGGAGGATGCTGAGGAGCAGTGCAGTGCTGTCTCAGTGCGGTGACCCTGCCTGAGGGCACTGAACTGATGGACAAACAGGAACTCCCCAGCCCATGACCAACATTTCCCGGATGCAGGTCGCTGCTGGGCACAGGTGCAGGAAAACTACAGAGGCAGTGTGCTGGGCAGGGGGGCCTGTGTGGGCAAAGGGAGGCTGAGAGGGTGACGTCGAGGGACCCCGAGCAGGGCAGCCAAGGGACTCTGGACTGCCGGTGCCAGAGGGACACAGGGCCGGACTAGCTTTGGGCACACTGTGGGTTGATGAACTCCCGCTTGGGGAGGACTGCAGACAAGCCTGGGCCAAGACGTGCTTCCATTGGTCAGAATGGGAAGAGGAGAGGGTCATTCAGGAAGGCCCATCTGTGCGGAGATGGGAACAGGGCTGGCGGCAGGGACACAGGAACCCCCACCTGCCACATCTTGGCCTAAGTTCTTTCCAAGTTTGCTCCCTGACCAGGACGCTGAGCTGTGCATGGGGGGTCTTCCCCCAGCTCTAGAAATTTCTGTCCCAGTGTGCTAAACTGTCCTTGGGGTGGGAGGGCTCTAAGCCGGGGCAGGGGGTGGGTGGGTGGGGATGGGGGAAGAGGGAAGGGCAGATGGAGGGAATGGAGCCCCAGACTCTGGAAGAGGAGGAGGGGGAGGAGAAGGAAAGGAGCTCTACTCTGGGAGCCCCCAGCTTGGGGCCAGGGGAGGGGAAGAAGGGAGGGATTGGGGAGACCCCGCTAGGCACATGGTCCCCTCTGCTCTTGCCCTACTCCCCTCCCTGTGGGGAGCCGGGTGCAGCTGATGTCCCTGGGGAGGTAGGGGTTCTGTGGAGGACGGGCTGAGATGCAAGGGGCTGTGGGATCCCAGGGGAGGGGATGCCCCCCCACCCCGAGCCTTACCGGGTGGCAAGGACACGCCAAGAGGGTTGTAGGGCCGAGGAGGATAGGTGACCCGAGGGCCGGCCAGAGGATCTGGCCGGGCCGGCCAGACCTTTCCCTCTGGCGCCTCCGTCCAGCCTAAGTCCCGCCCACTTGCCACACCCCTGACTCACTTCCTTTGCCTAGAAGCGGAAACCTCCCCAGAGCTTCCTCCCCTCCTAACTGCACCCCAGGGACCCGCAGGTGTTGCTTCCCTCCAGGCCTGAGCTGCCCAGCCAGGCCCCTGACCCCACTGGGACCCTCCCCAGAAAGCTGGTGTTTTCTGTGTCCTGAGTTGCAGCCCCCGCATCTGGCCTGGGCAGGGGGCTGCCCTTGGTGGGCTGGGGGGCCAGCAGGAGCTTAAGCTGACACAGCTGCAGGTATGGGGCGGGTCGGGGACCAGGGGCATCTGTCCTGCCTTTCTTCAGCTCTGTCTCCTCGGTGGCTCTTTTCCTCCTCTGGCCCTTTTTGTCCACCCCACCCCTCTGGTCCCTGGGGGCTCCCTGCTGGCCACTCCATCAGTGTGTTCACTGGAGGGATGTGGGGGGTTCCCAGTTTGGGGGTGGAGGGCGAGACCAGATCCCCCCCTCAAGTGTCCTTAAGTGTGTGGGGGAGGTCTCTGGAATCTAGGGGTGCTCGAGGCTCTGCTTCTCTTGGTTCCTGCTTGGGATTCAGAGGGCCCCTGGCGCCTGGCAGTCGGAGCTGTGGGCGGGGGAGGGGTCGGGCCTTGACCCTTCTTCACCCTTAATCGGCGCCTAGTTGGCACCGACTTCTCCTCCAGGAAGCCGGGTGGCTTCCCGATAAGCTGCGCCCTCCCCCCTCCGCCACTTCCTCAAGGCCCGCAGCTGTTTATGGGAGGACCCGAGAGATTTGCATTGGGGCCCCGCGGGGAGCCGCTTCCTGGTCAGCGGGGCGAGACTCAGGCTCCGCAAGGCCGGCACCAGGAACCGCCCCCCGCCCCCCCGCCCGCCGCGCTCCCTGGGGACCTCTCAGAGGGGTGAGATCATTCGGGGAAAGGGTCCCAGTTGGCCGGGCGGAAGTCTGGAGACCCTCCCCATCTCCCTGTTGCAGGGAGGGCGACCTGCATGCCGAGCGCCGCCTCTGCGCCATGGACGGCGACCAGCCCAGTCTGGAGCCCGCCGCCGCGGGCCCCAGCATCCCCGGCCCGAGCGTGATCGCGCCGCTGCGCGCCGTGGTCCGCCTGCGTCGCCGCGTGTGCCTCCTGCGCAAGCGGCGCCTCCTGCCGCCAGGCACCGGGCCGGCCTCCGGGGCTGGAGCGTCCAGACCCGGCTGCAGCTCCGGGGCGCCGCACGCTGACCTGGACCAGCCGCAGTTCTTCACCTTCGACGGCCCGGCGGAGCTGCAGTCCAGGACGCCGCGCAAGAGGCGCCGGCGCAGCCGTGTGGTGCTCTACCCCGAGACCTCGCGCAAGTGCCGGCCTCACGCGGAGCGCCGGAGCCGCGCGCAGCGCTGCCTGTTGCTGCTTGTGGCCATTGTGGGCTTCCAGGTGCTCAACGCCATCGAGAACCTGGACGATAACGCGCAGCGCTACGACCTCGACGGGCTGGAGAAGGCGCTGCAGCGCGCCGTGTTCGGTCAGCCGGGTGCTGTGGGGCGCATCGTGGCGCTGCTGCGGGACTACCTGGCCACGCACGTGCACAGCCGCCCGCTGCTCCTGGCGCTGCACGGGCCCAGCGGCGTGGGCAAGAGCCACGTGGGCCGCCTGCTGGCACGCCACTTCCGCGCTGTCCTCGAGGACGGCGCGCTGGTGCTGCAGTACCACGCGCGGCACCACTGCCCCGAGCCGCGTGCTGCGCAGGACTGCCGTGAGGAGCTGGCCGGGCTCGTGAACGACGTGGTGGCGCGGGCCGAGGTGGAGGAGAAGACCCCGCTCGTGGTGCTGGATGAGGCGGAGCTCCTGCCGCTGGCGCTGCTGGACGAGCTGCATAGCTTCCTGCAGCCGCAGCGTGCCCACCACTTCCGCAACGCCATTTATGTGCTCCTCAGCAGTGCGGGCGGCTCGGAAATTACGCGCTTCGTGCTGCAGAACGCATCCCGCGCGCTGCCCCAGCGCTCCAACGGCGCCCACGGTGCCCACGGTGACCGGGATGGGGCGGCAGCGGTGCAGGCCGAGGAGGAGCTGCGCGCGGGCCTGCGGGCGCTCCTGGTCCGCGAGCACCCGCTGTGGCAGGCGGCGGCCATCGTGCCCTTCCTGCTGCTGGACAAGCGGGATGTGGTCAACTGCTTCCGGGACGAGATGGCCGGGGAGGGCTTCTTCCCAGAGCCGGCCCGCGCTGAGCTCCTGGCGGCGCAGCTCAGTTACTACCGCGTCGCTGGCCGTGAGTTCGCCGTCACTGGCTGCAAGCAGGTGGTGGCCAGGGTGAATCTCTTGTAGCACAGGCGCAGCTGGACATGATGGCCGCTAGTGGGTACCGTGGGACTTTTGGGGTTGTTGGTGGCAGTAGGAGGGAGGGGACCCTGTGGATTTGCCTGAGGCCTCTAATAAATCTGTCTCCAGCCCCCACTGCCCTCCCCGACCCGTGGTTCACCCTGGGACCTAAGGAGGCTGGTGGGGTGGGTCAGTTCTGTGCCCCCCCTTCCAAGAACAATTCCCCCATTCCAGCCCCCAGTCTGCCACCTCCCAATCCTCAGTTCAGCCTACATTCCTGAGCACCTGCTGTGTGCACCTCATTGCAGGCATCCCAGGAGGCAGGCAGTCCAGTCTCCACGGTACAGAGGAGGGATGGCCTCAGAGAAAGTGCGTGGCTCCTAGGGTCACATAGTTGGTCCCCTGCACTGGATATGACCTCAGCTCTGTGGGGCGCCTGCAGCAGCCATCAGTGACACTCACACACACTCCCGTCCAGTCCAGCCCTTGCTCCCCTGCTCACGCCCTGGGCCCCGAAATCCTGGATGCTCCTCCGGCCAGGAGAATTGTGCGGACTCCCTGGATTTCTCCTGGACTCCCGCGCCCAGTAGCTCCCTGGAAGGCGGGACGGGTGGGAATCTCCACAGAATGAGCTGATCCAGTGGAATCCCCCGAATGCTCTGGAAGGTGGGGAGAGCTCTCTCAGGGTGACAGGGGCGCTGACTTCTCAGACCCCCCTGCCCTGGTCACCAACTTGCTTCAGGACGCCGAACCAGGGTAGGCCTCAAGGTAGAGAGATCCCTTAGACTCAACTGCAGAGGTTTTCAGGTTTTCGGTCCCACATTGCTTTTCAGGCGCTGTGGGCACCTTTTGCGCGTGTCTCCCTGAGGGCGGTGGTCGCGTCCACGTGGACCCCACTTCTCGCAGCCGCGCTTCCCTCGAGCCCTGGGGTGGCCTCCTTGCTGCCGCTCGGTGGCGGCGCGTGGCCGCGGGGACACGTGCACAGACGCCGACGACGCTGACCACCGCTACTGCCAACGGGGGACTCGGGGAGCAGAGGCGAAGCTCTAGTTGAGCCGGCGCGGGGCTGTGCGCGCCCACCAGCCGCGGCACAGCTCAGCACGCCCCCGGCGCCCCGCAGACCCCGGCACCAGCGCAGGCCGGCTCGCTGGGGCTCCCCCGTGGGGGGGCACCCCCGCGCCATCCCTTCTCGTCCTGGCGGTCGGCGGCGGCCCTGGGCCGAGGTCTGCCGGAAAGAGAGGGAAGCCGCACGGGGGGAAGCACGGGGACCGGGGGCCCAGGTGGGAAGGGCGGAAGAACTCCCCGAGAACCCGCCGGGGCGGGGGGTGGGCGCAGGAGGAGGGGAGGTGCACGCGACCTTGGGAAGCTTTGCTCCCCCAGGGGGTTGGGAGGCATGGCCAGCTCTGTCCACTGACCGCACTTGCAGCTGGGGACAGGAGCCCCAGTCTCTGAGGCCGAGTAGGTGCCAGAGGGGCCCGTGTCCAGTTCGGAGACCCCCGGCGTGGTCCCTGCGTCTGGGTGTGGGCGACAGCCGCGGCGTACTGACGTCTTACACTTCTCTTGGGACTTTGTCTTTTGCCTTTTCATGCGTTTTTATATCTTGCTTTATTTTTATTTTTTGGTAGTGGTCCCCCTCAGGGTCCCATCTGCCTCCTTGATAGGTTGGCAGTTGTACCGCGAACCGAGGACTTACACCCTCACTTGGGCAGCGACCCGACTTGTGGTCCTCGGAGGGCCAGCCCACCCTCTCCACGCTCAGGGCTGTCTCACCGCCTACTTAAACTCCGTCCTTTTATCCGACTCCGCATATCAGACGTTATAGTTCATTTTTATTGATTTTTAAATTTTATTTTATTGATATATTTATCAACTAGTTCTCTCTTTTCCTGAGGCTCTGTAATTTCCATTCTGCTAGAAACTGGGTTCCAAGGTTCTCTCTGTGCAGGTGGGACGGTTTCCCGGCTGTGGGTCAGTTTGTTTTCCCTGGGTCAAGACAGCCTTCTTGAAAAGTTACTTGGCTCTTCTGGGCTTTTTTCCTTAGAACTTGGTTTTGTCAAAATCTTTTCTTCTTCTCCTTTTTTTTAAGCAGGCTCCATACCCAACGTGGAGCCCAATACAGGGCTTGAACTCATGACCTTGAGATCAGGACCTGAACCAAGATCAAGAGCTTAACTGTCTAAGCCACCCAGGCACCCCTGGTTTTGTCAAAGTCTTTGGAAAACCTTTTAGGATCTGAACTGGAACCGCACTGATCCACAGGACAGTGTGGGGAGTGTGACTCGGTCACCCTGTGATGCGGTTGACGAGACCTGATTCACGAGTTTGAATACACCTGTATAATGTTCTGCTGACAGGTCTTGCTCACTTTTGTGAGATTTATTCCTAAAAACCAAATAATGTTTGGTTGGCATTGTAAAAGGTTAATGTTGTCTAATATAACATACATCTAGAAAAGTGGATAAAGCAAAATATATATTCAAACTTTTATCACAAAGCAAGCACCCATCCAGGTCAGGAAACTGGGCATGGCCAGGCTCCTAGAAACTCTCCAAGCCCCTCCTCCTCGCCGGCTCCTCCTCCCCTCCCCAGGCGATGACCAGCCAACTTTCCACCAAAGTACAGCCTTGTGGCCTTCATACCTCAGCCACCTAACTTCACAACTCTAACCAGTCTGGTTTAGTTTGTTTTTCATGTTGTAGCTTTCCTGTTTGCTTAATTCAAAACAAAACAAAACAACAGAACACCTTGATTGAAGTATCATTTATATACCACAAAATCGACTTAAAAGAGTGGATGATTTAAAGATTTTTAGTAAATTTGCAGGCTTCTGCAGATATTGCCACAATTCAGGCTTAGGATCTTTCCATGACCCCAGAAAGATCCATCCTGCTTATTTTCAGTGAATACCTGTTTTCCCCCCTCCCTCAGACAACCGCTCATTCTGTCTCCCAAGGTTTGCCTTTTCTAAAAGTTTCTTATATACATGGACTCTTTTTAGCTTTATGTGTCTGACTTCCTTCCCTTAGCATACGGCTTTTGGGGTTTGCCCAAGCCATAGGACATGGTTTCTAGGAGTTTCTAGGAGCCTGGCCATGCCCTGTTTGCTGATGTGGATGAGTGCTTTCCTTTCTGCTGCTGCTGAGTGTTCCATTCCGTGGACCAGACTCGTTCCATGGCAGATGCATCCCATGTACGTTTGGGTTGTTCGCATTTGTTGGCTGTTACAAATAAATTGTGCAAGGAACATTTGCCCCAAATTGTGTGGGCATACATTTTCCTTTACCTGGAATAAATACCAAAGAGTAGAAATGCTGATTCACATGAAGAACATTTTGTGTGATTTATTTATTTATTTATTTATTTATTTATTTGAGAGAGAGAGAATGAGAGACAGAGAGCACGAGAGGGAAGAGGGTCAGAGGGAGAAGCAGACTCCCCGCTGAGCAGGGAGCCCGATGCGGGACTCGATCCCGGGACTCCAGGATCATGACCTGAGCCGAAGGCAGTCGCTTAACCAACTGAGCCACCCAGGCGCCCTTGTGTGATTTTTTTAAAGAAACTGCCAACCTGCTCCAACGTGACTGTACCATTTTACACTCCATCGGCAGGCAGTGTGTGGGATGAGTCTTCGCCACATGCTCGCCAACACTTGTTACTGACAGTCTCTTATATGATACCTGTCCCAGGGGCTGGTTTCGGTTTGCGTTTTTCTAATAACTAATGGTCTTGAGCATGCTCCACGTGCTGCGTAGACCTTCACTTTATTTGGGTGGTTTCGCTGACTGTTGACTTGCGAGAGGTCTTTGTATATCCCGGCCGAAGGTGTTTGATCGGATGTATGTGGCAAATGTTTTCTTCCAGTCTATAGGTTTTTTTTAATTTTCATAATTAAAAAATGCGTTTTGAAGTGCAAAAGGGTTTAATTTTTATGAAGTCAAATGTATCCATTTTTTTTCTTTCATGGTTCCCGACTTGGGTGTTTCTAAGAACTCCTGGTTTACTCCCAGATCATAAAGACTTTCCCCTGTGCTTTATTCTAAATGGTTTTAAGGTTTTAGCTCTTACATTTAGGTCTGTGAACCATTTTGAACTAATTTTTATGCATGTTGTGAGATGAAGGTTGAAATCAGTCTTACTGCGTGAAGATGTCCCCTCACTGTTTTTTGAAAAGTCTCTCCTTTCTCTGTTAAATTGCCTTGATGCCTATGGCAGTTGAAGTTCCACAGAGCAAGAGCATCTGTGGGAGATCCCCATGAGGGCAAGCCTCGGGGAAGGGCAGGCTGGGGCTCCGGCCGGCCTGAGCTGCCGGAGGTGGAGTTTCAGCTCTGTTCCTAAGTCTTTTAGACAGATTGAATCAGGCCCACCCAGGTCACGCAGGATCATTTCCTTTACATAAAGTCGACTGATTACGGACCCGAATCTCCTCTACAAGATGCCTTCACGGCAACACCCAGATTAGGTTTTGATTGAGTAACTAGCCAAGTCGTCACCTACAACTGCATCATAGCACCTTTGTCAAAAATTAACCGGCACGAAGGTGAGGGCTGACCTCCGGACTCTCAGTTTTATTGATCTGTGTGTCCATGCCAGAATCACGTTCTTTTGATTTCTGTAGCTTTACAGTTAGTTTTGAAATTGGAAAGTGTGAGTCATTCAACTTTGTTCTCAGTTTTCAGTATTGTTCTGGCTGTTCTGGGTCCTTTGCCTTTCTAGATAAATTTTAAATTCAGATTGCCAATTTCTGAGAAGAAAAGAACAACAACAACCCGAACCAAAACCCAATTTCTACATTTTGATAGAAATTGCATTGACTCTAGAGATCAGTTTGGGGAGAACTGCCAGATCAATAATGTTGAACTTTCCAGTCCCCGGACTTGGAGCCGCTCAGGCTCCCAAGTGTTCAGTTCTCTTCGAGATGAGGTGTAGCTCAGTGTGTGAGCCGTGCACTCCTCGTCTTCAGCATATTCCTGAGCACTTCACTCTTTTTGATGCCATTGCGAATGGAATGGTGCTGTGGTCACGTTCAAGCTCTTCATGGATGGCATATAAAAACAAAATAGAATTTCGTGTATTGATCTTGGATCCCGTGACCCTGTGGAGCTTGTTTATCAGTCCTTTTGTTTTGTTTTGTTTTTTGGTATGGGTTTCTTTCTTTTCTTTTCTTTTCTTTTTTTTTCAAGATGTTATTTATTTATTTGACAGAGAGAGACACCGCGAGAGAGGGAACACCAGCAGGGGGAGTGGGAGAGGGAGAAGCAGGCTCCCCTGAGCAGGGAGCCCGATGCAGGGCTGGATCCCAGGACCCTGGGATCATGATGCGAGCCAAAGGCAGACGCTTAACGACCGAGCCACCCAGGCGCCCCTAGAGTTCACTCTTGATGTTGTATATTCTGTGTGTTTGGACAGATGTAGAATGACACATATCCACCATTATTGGATCAAAATCCTCTGCACCCCATCTACTTATACCCTCTCCCTCCGGACTTCTGGAAACCACTGATCTTTTTACTGTTTCCATAGTTTTGCTTTGTCTGGAATGTCATACAGTTGGAATCATACAGGCAGTAGACAGTATGTTGCCTTTTCAGATCGGCTTATTTCACCTATCGATATGCATTTCAGGCTCCTCCATGTCTTTCCATGGCCTCATAGCTCATTTCTCTTTAGTGCTGAATAAATATCCCATTGTCTGGTTGGATTACAGTTTGTCCATTTACCTATTGGAGGATACTTTGGTTGCTTTCAAGTTTGGGCAACCATGAAAAATTATGGATCAAGCTGCTCTAAGTATATGTGTGCAGGCTTTTGTGTGGACATAAGTTTTCATCTAGTTTGAGTAAACATGAAGGAGCACAATTGCTGGATCATATGGTAAGAGTATGTTTAGTTTTGTAAGAAACCGCCCAACTGTCCCTCAAAGTGGCTGTGCATGTTGCATGCCCACCAGCAAAGAGAGTTCCTGCTGCCCCATATCCTCCAGCATTTGACTCCAGTGTTCTGGAATTGGGCCATTCCAATAATGTGTAGTGGTATCTTGTTTTAATTTGCATCTCCCTGATGACATGTGATGTGGAGCATCTTTTCTCGTGCTTATTTGCCATCTGTACATTTATATCTTTTGCTAATTTTTTAATCAGGTTGTTTGTTTTCTTGTTGAGCTTGAGGAAATCTTTGTATATTTTAGATAACAGGCCTTTATCAGATGTGTCTTCTGCAAATATTTTCTCCCAGGCTGTGGGTTGTCTCCTCGTCCTCTTGACGTGGTCTTTCTCAGAGCAGAAGTTGTTAACTTTAATGAAATTCCGCTGATCATTTCTTTCTTTCATGGATTGTGCCTTTGATTTTGTATCTCAAAAGTCATTGTCAAACCCAAGCTCATCTGGATTTCCTCCTTGCAGAAGTTTTATAGTTTTGCATTTTACATTTAAGTCTGTGATCCATTTTCAGTTTTTTAAAAAGATTTTATTTATTTATTTTGGGAGAGAGACAGAGAGAGCACAAGTGGGGGGAGGGACAGAGGCAGAGGGAGAAGCAGACTCCCTACTGAGTACAGAGCCCGACGCAGGGCTCGATCCCAGGACCCCGGGATCATGACCTGAGCCGAAGGCAGACGCTTAACCGACTGAGCCACCTGGGTGCCCCTTCAGTTTATTTTAAATGAAGGGTATAAGGTCTGTGTCTGGATTAATTGTTTGCATGTGAATGTTCAGTTTTTCCAGCACCAGAATCTCATGGACTTTTCATTTCAGTTATTGTGCTTTTTAACTCCAGCTGTTCCCATTTGGTTCTTCTTTCTCCTTTCTCCTTCCCCTCCCCCTCCCTCTTCCTCCTCCCTTCTTCTTCTTCTTCTTCTTCTCTCTTCCAATTCTATATTACAAAAATTATTGTTTTCAATCTTGGAAGCTTTAGAGCCAAAACATCTTCTCTTTTTGAAGAATTGAAACATTTTGCAGACAGAATGGAAAGTGATGGAAATCTACAACAATGTTTGGAGGTTCTAAAGGAAAGGATCAGATTGTCTCTGGAAACATCAGTGGCTGAGATGAAGGAAGACATGGCAAAGTTCTCTTCGGAGCTGGGATGAGTTCTTGCACTGTCAGAATTGGCACATCTCGTTACATGATCAGAGGGTCACTGAGACTGTTATCAGACAGAGGACCCTTTCCAAGCTCATGTTTGGCTGCTTGCCACTCAAAAATCAATACTTGAGAGACAAGTGAGACAGGGAAGGTGGCTTTATTCAGGAAGTGGACAACCTGGGAAGGTGGCAGACTAACGTCCAAAGACCATCTCTTTCAGTCTAGGGGAAGCTGCAGAGTTTTTAAGGGGAAGGCTTGGGAAGTGGTGAGGGGGCTGCATGTAGGAGAAGCTGGTGCTCAGCAGTTAGTCATTTATCCACACGACCCTGAACAGACTTGCTGGCGGCAGTGGTGAGTGGTTTCAAATAAGGCCAGGCCATATCTTTCGGGAAAGTCTGGTCCTTTGTTCCTCAAGCCCAGAGGTCTGCAAAATCTCAAGGGAAATAGGTTAGTTTTGCTATAGACTATGGGGCTTAGGTCAACAAGCAAGGAGTGCCTAAGCTTGAAGCAAGTTAACCTTCATTTGGAGTGTTGTTACAAAACCCAAATCACTGACATTGAAATGGAACGTATGACATATCTAGGTCTTCTCAGAATGACCTCACGGAGCCTGACCAGTGGAAAATATGACAGAACCAGGCCAAGATCTTTGAGTGTATGGAGTTGCTGATGGGTGAAGTGCAGTGATTAGTGGGCAGCTGAGACTTCTGGACGAACAGACACCGTCCTTCCAGAACAGGTCAGTACTGCCCAGGATGAGAAGCTCACAACAGTCAGAAACTGTTGTTTCCACACTTCAGCCACAAGCCCCCTCACCACACGTTGCTCTGGGTCTGGTTGGTGACCTTCTGCAGTTTTCTGCTCTAAGATGCTCAAGAGGAGAGGCATGGAGGGTGACTTTGCACCCGATGACTGCCTGGGTGTCTGAGCTTCGGGCTTCACCCTCTTGCCTTGAGGGGACTGGGCAGCCATAGTGCACCTTGATTTTTTTCTGAAAGTGATGGAATTGATGCATCTAAAAGAATGTTGTATGGGCAGGGTCTGGGGCTGCCAGATGCCCATGGGGGTTGCAGGCTGCCCCCTTCCTGCCAGACCAGAGGGGCTGGGGGGATCCCAGCAGGGGGAGGGCAATCCCTTCACCCCAGTTGCCAAACAGCACCCCCTCACCCCCTGGACCTTCCTCCTCCCTCCATCCCTGACAGTTCTGGCCTTCCCAAATTGCTTTTGATCTTCTGATTCCTCTTGGGTTGAAGCATACCAAGTTTGGGGGGGGCTGTATTTTTTTAATGACACCCCAATTCCCCACCTGTTCCTCCCTTTTCCCATGCTGCCAACTTTTAACCGCAATAGTGAAAAAAAAAAAAGAATGTTGTATGGACACTTTTTTCCAGGAATGTGCAAAATGCCTGGAACTTCTTTTTCAGAATGACCTTCAGAACAAGTAGCCCATTCTTTTAAACACCCTTCAGGATCAGAAAGCTTCATCTTGTGAAGATGTGCTTTGCAGGTTTTGAAATAATCCAAAGTCCCTCAGGGCCAAGTTGGATGACACATTTTGGGACCAAGTTGTAAAGTTATGAGACTGATGTTCGAGAGTGTCTCGAAGGTGGTTTCATTCACATTACTGGATTACAGGTATCACTTCTTAAGATGTCCAAAGTCAAGGGAGCACCGTACTCTCCATGTATTGGTGTCCACTGTGTGCTGGACTTTTTTTTTTTTTAAGATTTATTTATTTGAGAGAGAGAGAGAGTACACAGAGGGAGAGGAAGAAGCAGACTCCCCGCTGAACAGAGAGCTTGATGTGGGGCTGGATCCCGGGACCCCAGGATCATGACCTGAACCAAAGGCAGACCCTTAACCAGCTGAGCCATCCAGGAGCCCCTGGATCTCTGTTTTTATTAATAATCTGCTTTACAGGGGCGCCTGGGTGGCTCAGTTGTTAAGTGTCTGCCTTCAGCTCAGGTCATGATCCGGGGTCCGGGGATCGAGCCCCGCATCGGGCTCCCCGCTCCACGGGAAGCCTGCTTCTCCCTCTCCCACTCCCCCTGCTTGTGTTCCCTCTCTCGCTGGGTCTCTCCCTGTCAAATAAATAAATAAAATCTTTAAAACAAAAATTTAAAAAACAATCTGCTTTACAAAATTGCACATACTTAAAAGATATTTTTTAAAAAGTGTTCTTTTATTAAGAAGGAATTCACAAACCGTACAGTTTACCTATTTAAGGCACATAGTTCGATGGCTTTTAGTCTAGTCAAAAAGTTGTGCAACCATCACCACAACCTGATTTTTTTTTTTTTTACCACAATCTGATTTTAAAACATTTTTATCTCAAAAAGAAACCCTATGCCCATTAGCACTCACTCCTCACACAGCCCTAGGCAGTTTGTTTGACTGGAATCCTGCAATATTGGTCCTTTTGTGTCTGGCTTCTTTTACTTAGCATAATGTTTTCAAGGTCTGTTTTCAACCATGTATCAGTGCTTGATTCCTTTTTATGGCTGGATAATATTCCACTGCACGGATATCCCACGTTGTGTTTATATCTTCATTAGTTGAGGGACATCTCATTTTTTTTCCTACTTTTTGGCTATTTTTACAAAAAGATTTATTGATTTATTTTAGAGAGAGAGAGAGAGACAGCACATGAACACAGGGGGAGGGGCAGAGGGAGAGAATCTTCAAGCAGACTCCCCGCTGAGCCCTGAGTATGGAGCCCAACTCGGGGCTTGATCCCACGACCCATGAGATCATGACCTGCCCTGAAACCAAGAGTTGGACACTTAACTGACTGGGCCACCCTGGTGCCCCTCTACTTTTTGACCATTATGAATAATGCTGCTATGACCTTTTGCATACAGTTTCCTGTGTGGTCATATGTTTTCATTTATCCTGGGTATACGCTGAGGCTTGGAAAAGGGTGATGCATCTTGGGTCATGTGGAAACTCTACTTTTAACATTTTAAGTAGTAACTGCCAAACTATTTTCCAAAGCAGTCCGTTTTTTTCAAAAAAGCTTCTCTTTATTGATGTTCCCTATTTGGTGGGTCATTTCCATCATACTCTCCTTTAACTCTTTTTACATAGTTTCCTTTATGTCTTTGAAAATACTTATAATGGCTGCTAAGTCCAACATCTGTGCCCCCTCAGAGACATTCTTCCTGTCTTCACCTTGTATGTGAATTACACTTTCTTGTTTGTTTGCATATCTCCTAATTTTTCTGTTTAAAACTGGGCATTTTATGGGCCCTGGCTGGCTCAGATGGTTAAGTGTCTGCCTTCGGCTCTGGTCATGATCTGGGGGTCCTGGAGTTAAGCCCCACATCGGGCTCCCCACTCAGCGGGGAGTCTGCTTGTCCCTCTCCCTCTGCCCCTCTCCCTGTGCTCTTGTGCACACACATGCTCTCTCTCTCTGTCTCAAATAAATAAATAAAATCTTAAAAAATACCCTGGACATTTTAGATAATATATTGTGACAACTCTGGTTTTTAATAGGACTTTTCCAGGTCACCTCAGAGGTGGTTGCGCCCTCTGGCTGGCCCTGTTCTGGCATCATTCCTGCGTGATGCAAACTGGGGACAACTCCAGGCAAAATGCCCTTCCTCCCTGAGATCTGAATAAGTGCTTCTTAATGCTTTTTTATTCTCAAGATTTTATTTTTAAGTAATCTCTACAGTCAGCCTAGGGCCCGAATCTACAACCCCCAGATCAAGAGTCCCATGCTCCACTGACTGAGCCAGCCAGGCACCCCTGCTTCTCAAACTTTTGGTCAATTTCCAGAGTCCAGAACTTTTGTTTTTATTTTGTTGCCTTTTTAGGGGAAGGATTTTTTGAGCTCTTCGGTCTACCTTTCTGGAAGTTTTGCCACCCTCTGTTTTAATCTGCCTATTGATTGAACTTTATATGAATGGAATCACACTGCACGTTTTGTTTTGTGTCTGGCTTCTTCGCTCAGCATTGTATTTGTGAGACCTGCTCCTGATACAGCATGCACTCTAGCTTCCATTTTCCTCACTGCAAGTGCTTTGGTTTAGGAATCCACCACATTTTGTTTATCCATTCTATTGATGGATATTTGATTTGTTTTTATTACTTTATTATTTTTGCTATTGTGAGTAATGCTGCCCTAAGTATTTTTGCACACATCTTTGTGCACAGATGAATCCATAACAACCAGGTACTGTTATAGGTTGAGCTGTGTCGCCCCCCAATTAATATGGTGGAGTCTTACCCCTCAGTACCTCAGAATATGACCTTATTTGGAGAAAATAAGAAGTAACCAAGTTAAACTGAGGACACAGGGATGGGCCCTAGTCCAATAAAAGGTGGGGGGGATTTGGACCCAAATGGACATGCACGGAGGGAAGATTGCATGAAGGCACAGGGAGGAGTGGGCCGTCTACAGCCATCTCTGGACTTCTGGTCTCCAGAACTGAGAGGTAATGCCTTTCTGTCGTTTAAGTCCCCCAGTTAGTGGTACTCTGTCAGGGTAAGCCTAGGGAACTGACACATGCGTGTACCTTGAAGTGGAATTCTGGGTTTTAGTCAGTCATGCTATACAGTCTTCCAAAGTCCAACTCATTCCAGCCCCCCAGCCCCCAGCCATCCTGGGAGAGCCGCTGGTGCCGCATATGCTCACCAACATTTGGTGTCGTCGGTGGTTCTCACTGTGATTTTAACTTGCATCTCCTGGATGATTTGTGAAGTGCCAATTTGCTTCTCTTGCCCATTTTGAAGTGGGTTGTCTTTTTCTTACTGATTTGTAGAAGTGCTTTATAAACTCTGGGTATGAGCCTGTTGTTGATTATATATGAGGCAAATATCTTCTACTCGGTGGCTTGCTCTTCTTCTCTCCTAATAGCATCCTGAAGAAAGACATCCTCAGTTTTAACGTGTTCATGTGTATTACTCTTTCCCTTTATGTTTCTTGCTTTTTTTGTGTGTTGTCTTTAAGAGAAGTTTCCTTACCGCCAAGGGCACACAAGCAGATGTGGCAGGAAGTGAGCCTGGAGGAGAGGATTCAGTTTACACACACACACACACACACACACACACACACACACACACACACACCTGCTGGAATTCTGACTGGGCTGGCAATGAATCTATAGATGAACTTGGGCAGAACGGACACCTTCACCATATTGAGTCTTGTAGAACATGATATAGTTCTTGTTTAATTTTGGTTACAAGTTTCTCCTAGCAACATTCTGTAGTTTTCAGCAGGAAGATCTCACACATCCTTCATTAAGTTTATCCTTAAGTGTTTTACGTTTTGTGATGTTATGGTAAATGTGTTGTTATTTATTTATTTGTAAGATTATTTTTAAAGTTTTGTTTTCTACATGTTAATGGATAGAACACAGAAATACACTTGATTCTTGTCTCCCGGCCGCCTCGCCTGACTGGCCACTCACACATCTGCCGCAGCAACGTGACGGGGGACACAGCCTACTCTTCTCATCTCTGGCAGAGAAAGGGCCTGGGTCTCAGGGGCATCGCCTTCAACGCAGTGAGACCGGCCCATTCTCCCGGGAAAGGCTGGCTCTGTGGACACTCTGAAATTGGGTTTTCGGTTCTTTAGGGCTCAGTATCCAGGAGGAGGGGATGAACTGTGACACACTGGTGACGCTGGAAATGGGCGGCGGGCGTGGGCCTGCGCTCTCCGGAGTTTTCTGAGGTGTCCTTGTGACGCCAGCGCCTTTGTTGAGGTAATTCTGTCGAATGAAACATTACCATTGAGAACTAGGCTGTGTTTTGTGTGGTACCAGCCAGACTTTTCTAGTAAAAAAAAAAAAAATAGAAAGAAAAAAAAAACCTGACACCCCCCAGAAGTTACTGAAACATGCTGGATTTCAAAAGCATTATGCCAAGTGTCAGAAGCAACACCAAGAAAGTGCATCCCAAACAAATCCTTCTATATATAGTTCTAGAACAGGCACAGCTAATCCATGGTGACAGAAATCAGATCGGCAGTGATCTGGGCTAGAGCTGGGGAGGAATTGACTCCGGGCCGGGGGGCATGGCAGAATTTTCTGGGGGTGATGGAAATATTCTGTATTTTGATTATGGCCTCAGTTATGCTGGCAGACACATCGACCAGTACTGAGCACACCCTAAATGGTTGCATTTTTTTTTAAAGATTTTATTTATTTATTTGAGAGAGAGAGAATGAGAGAGAGAGAAAGCACATGGGGGGGGAAGGGTCAGAGGGAGAAGCAGACTCCCCGCTGAGCAGGGAGCCCGATGATGTGGGACTCGATCCCGGGACTCCAGGATCATGACCCGAGCTGAAGGCAGCCGCTTAACCAACTGAGCCACCCAGGCGCCCTAAATGGTTGCATTTTATTGTGTGTAAATTATACCACAGTAAAGTTGCTTTTTAAGAATAATGATAAACCTAACGATTTTCTTTCAGCTTCGAATAAAATGAAAAGAAACCACCCACAAAAAGACAGCACAGGAAGCCTTGAGAAGGAGTACTTTATTAACAACATGACCTTGAGAATTCAAAGTGCTGGGTTACTTATTACTTCCCTCCCCGATAAGGAAGAGGGAGAGTGAGCCGAAGAGAACCAGGAATGGGGGCCTGCCGGGCAAAGGGCTGGTTGCATCTGCTCTCTCTGGGGTGCCGGGAGCAGAGGCTTCCTGAGGCCCTTCCTCAGCCTCCGAAAGTAGTTTGATTTCCCGATGGCTACGCAAGCATTGCATTGTTTGCCTGCTCTGCAGCACGGGGCTTACTGTGGAAATTGGGACCAGAAGGCACAACTGACCTTAACTCACTAGACTCATCAGCACACACGCCCTGGGTGCCAGTGTCCCGCCTCTCCCATTTCCCTTGGGGCCTGGGCAGTCGGCTGCATCAGGCTGGCAGCGGGCCATCCCAGGGCAGCCCGAGGCTGGTTCTGTCCCGCGCTCAGGAGCGCCCCTGTTTTCTTCCTGTTCGGCCCACCATTGGACAGTTTTAATCCCTAGAAAGTTCTTCAGTACAAACTTCCAAGCCTATAGTGTTGGGTGTATTTGCAGCCAGGAAGGACAAGAGCATAAAGCACAGGCAGTTCTGCCTGGTGACGGAGGGAACGGTCAAGGAAAGGTTCCTGAGACGTCTCTGGTGCAGAAAGCTGGTTTTACTAAAGCACAAGGACGGGGCCCGTGGGCAGAAAGAGCGACACTGGAGTTGTGAGGGGCAGCCCATTGTGCACTCTCAAGTTGGGAGCAGGGTGGGGACAGGTATTTTGGAAGCAAGATTTCCAGGATCCTGAGGGGGCCGGCTGTTCTAGGAGAAGGAATTTATTACTGTCTAGGAAACCCTCAACCACGAGACCCTTCAGATGTGTATCGCTGGGCCACGTGCTTGGGGAATGACTGCCCACACGTGTCTTGGGGGATAGAGATAAAGGAAGTTTCCAAAGGAATGTCTGTGTGTTTAGAGGAGATTCGCAGGATCCTGGGGGTTGGGCTAGAATTGCTTGTTGCCCTCAGCAAAGTGTCCACATCCAGGCCGCTGAGCTCCCAGAGGAACGTCACTCTGCCTGTCCGAAGGACTTACCAATGAGCTCTAAGTAGTGAGGAAGTTTAATTTTTCTTTTGCCTTTGTTTCCCACGTCACCTGACAACATGGCCTGGATGATGTCGATGTTACCAAGGCAGGCACAGACTGCTACCCACCTACCCACCTCCAAATTATCAGCCTTTCTTCCTCTATGACCCCATTTAACCAGGGCGCAGCATTGAATAGACTACACTTCCCAGCCTCTCTTGCAGTGAGGTTGGTCATGTGACTGAGCTCTAACCAATGGGATGTGAGCAGATGTGTCAGGAGCCACTCCTAGGAAGTGAGCCTGGAGGAGAGGAGCCAAGCTCTAGTTCTTCCCGGCTATTGGCTGGAATGTAGACTTGATGGGCTGCCATCCGAGCCTTGTGGTCAAAAGCCCGCACAGCCTACAGCTTCGGAGGAGCCTGGCCCCTAACACCGCATACGAGCCCTGGACCACCTACTGGGACTTCTTCGTTGAGAAATACATTCTGTCTTTTTAACACCACTGCTGTTCTGAATTTTGCCCTATCTTGTTGGAAAGTTTATGGGACGTTTGGGGCTTGGTTCCCCTGGGGGCTCCCGTCCACAGGGTACTCATGAGGAGGCCCACAGACCTGCAGAGGTGGGTTTTGTCCATCGGGGGAGCCCGTGCCAGGTGTAAACCTGGTCTCCAGCCTCCAGCTCTGAGCGGCCAAGAGTTTGAACAGACCTTCCTCCCTCGCACTTGCCCATCGTCACCACTTCCATTGGAATGGGGTGGGGAGACAGCAGGAAGCGTCTGCAACTCTACCCACCCCCCACCCCCACCCCCACCCCCCAGCCCCCTCTGCTGAGGCGCCAGGCTCTGGGCGCTGATCTGGTAGCGCCCGCACCTGCCCACCCCCCCATGACTGGTCCTGATGGTTCTGAGAGATGTACTCTGGGTCCTGAAGTGTGACAAGTGGTAGGTAGCCACGTCCACAGGGCTGCGGCAGGTCCTGTGTCCTGCTGATCATCCATTCTTTGTGGCCCCAGGGCCCTGGAATGCCCTCTCTTCCCTACTGCGCCAAATGGGAGAACAGCACACCACGGCCGATCGCTTGATGAGGACCGTGATGGGCGCACTTCCCCAGGCCCTGTCTCCTCCGGGGAGGGCGGAAGCCAGGAACCACTATGGGGTCAACGCCCCTGCCCCTTCCTCAGAGCTGAGGTGGGCTCCAGGGTGTCCGCAGCAGGCCGGGAGGGCGCGTGTGCGCGCGGCAAAGGGCAGGCGGGGGTCTTGCCTGCCGGGGGCCCAGGGACCCCAGGGCTTGTGGGCGCAGCGCGCGCCGCGACCGCAGGGCGGCAGCACAGCCCGCGCAGCGCGGTCCTGGGCCGGCGCCCCCACTGGGGCTGAGCCCGCCCCGGGGCAGCTAGGGCGGGACGCCTGGCGAGAGCCCCCACCCGCTGCGGACGCTGCCTGCCGTCTCCCCTCGTGGGTTCTCGCCTGAGCCGGGGGCGAGGTCAGGAAGGGGCAGGGGCGGGCCGGGCCCTAAGAGCCAGGCTCGCGGCGGGGGGGTGGGGGGGAGGTCCCTACCCCAACCCTCGTAGCCCCTCGGATGCCGGGGCGTGGGGAGGGGCGGTGGTCAGGGTCTCCGACTCCCGCTCGGCCCCCTCCTCAGTCCCACTGAGGCCCGGGATCCTCAGGCATCGCTTCTGGGGGGCTCCCCCCGGTACCCCTCTCAGTGTCCAACCATCCAGGCCTGGGGCGGGCGGGAGTGCCCGACCATCCGTCTCGGTTCGGACCCCCTCCAGTGGAGGGCGCACTGCAGCCCCCAAGCGCAGCAGGGTCTGCGGGGTGCGGGACGGGGGCGGGGAACCTCTGAACGAGCTGCCCGTCCCAGGCCATGACCCCAGAACAGAGATGACAGCTGGTCTCTACCCCGGACACCCCGCGCCTGGAGAGTGGGTGCGCACGACGGGCTTTGAGTCGAGGGCGGCGGGGGCAGCCCCCGTCCCCCCACCCTACCCCGGCCTTTGTGAGTGCCCGCCCCCAACCCCGGGCCAGGGCCCCCACTGCCCAGCCCATCCCCCCTCCCAATGCGGAGCCCCCAGCTTCCGCACGCTGGTTTCCCCGGTCCAAGCCCGTTTCCCCCCAGTCCGCCCCCCATCCGCGCCCTCCAGCAGGACTCCCCCACCGGCGCCTCTCTCCTGCGCCTCTGCTGCCCCCCACCTCCCCGGGGCCCCCCAGCCTCCCCCTGCCCGCCGGTCCCCCACCTCCCTCCACCCTCATTAGCATAGCAGCTGCTCGCCGAGCGGGGACCCGCGCGGAGGAAAGGGCAGAGGCCTCGAGAATGAATGGGGGCCACGGCTTTGGAGGGGCAAGAGAAGAAAGACAGACAGACGCACGAAGGGACAGCCCGACGTACAGCCAAGCAGAAGAATGCGCCCGACAGAGGGGAGGGGAGCGTTGGAGGGGGAGCCGGGAGCCCCGGCCACAGAGGCGGAGCGTGCAGCGGGAGGTGGGGGAGGGCGGCCTCCAGAGACCCCAAGCCCCAGGAGGAGGCTGCGCCGGAGGCCTCGGGGAGGAGCTGTCTGGGAGGTTCGCAGACCTCCCACGGCCCCCTCTCGCCCAGGCCTCACACCCCGGGCTCAGGCTTTGTTCCCCAGCTGCCCCCTGTGTCTGGCACCCTCTCCCTCCTTCAGCTCCCAGGTGGACACCCGCCTCTTTGAGCTGCCAGGCTGCCTCTGTGCCCCCCTGCAGTGAGCTGCAAGACCTTTGGGGATCAGAGCCAGAGGGCAGCCCCTTCCCTCTCCTTCTCCTAACCCCCCTCCCTGGTCCTTGGCCCTTGGTCTGGCCTCCAAATCCTGCCCGCCCTCCTCTGGCAGGCTCTGTCCTGGCTCCCACGCCTGTTGACTTTAGACATCACTCTTTCTGGCTGACCATTTTCCTGCATTTCCTGGTCTCTCTCTGGCATCCATTCCAACAGTAAACACTTCCTGTGTCTGGCCGGGGTCAGGTCAGAGACAGACAGTTGGACAGGAGCCGCCATCACTCCTGGCTGGGGTGGGGGTGGGGTGGGGGAGGCCCTACCCTTGTCCATTTGGTCTGTCTCCCTTTCTCCTTGGTAGGCCCCCCAGGACTTCCCAGCGGTCCAGCCCCTGCCGGCCAGACCCCTCCACCCTGGGTGTCCTCCGTGCTCCTGGCTAGGACCCTCACTTGGCCTCCACAGTGGACCTGCAGATCCCGGGGCCCAGACAGAGAGGTCAGCTCTGACTTCTTTCTTGCACCGGCCACAAAGAGCTTTGAGAGGAGGCTTCCGCCCCTGAAGGCCCACCTGGGGAGGGACTCCCAGGTGACACCACTGGCCACTCAGCGCCTGTTCCTGAGCACAGAGGTGCTGGAGACAGAAGCCCCGCTTGCTCGTTTGTTCACAGCTCTGACCCCAGATGGCGGCAAGAGAGCTGGAGTTGTAGTGTGTCTGTTTCCTAGGGCTCTGCCCAATGAAAGGGCCACGAGATGCCCATGAATACATGTCTTTAGGCACTCCCAGAGTCCCTCACCAACAGCCTGGGTCCAGGCTGGGGGGCGGGGGTTGTCTGTGCACAGAAGAGCACCTAGGGAAACAAGGCAGCAAAATCCCACCAGGCCCCCTCCACAGCTGTGGGGCTGAGCAGGGCCTGGCCTCCTTTTTGTCCATGCTGGAGAGAAAACTGTTCCTCTGCGAGCAGCACAAAGCCTTTCTCAGTCAAATGTGTCTCTCAGAGGGAGGACTTAAGGGAGCCGAGACGTCTCCCATGGTGGCAGCCACGGGCCTGGGAGGTGTCTCAGCTCTCATGCTCCACCAGTGGCCGGGGCAGCCAGGCCAGCCGCTCCCTGGGAAGCAGACCCCTCCCCAGCAGCTAATGCGGAGAACAAGCACATTACCTGCAGCTCTGAGCCGGCTTCCTCACTCTCCTGTGGGCAGCAGTACCTGGGTGGGAAATGGAGGTCTGGTCCTGCATGCCCGCGGGCCACCCAGAGAGGGCCCAGGCCTGACTTCATGCTCCAGATACCCCAAGCAAAGTCCACGTTCTTGTAGCAACTCTCCCTTTCGAGGCCTGGCACCCTCAGCCCGCTCTGCTTGCCCGCCCAGCCCGCCCAGGCCGGTGGACACCACCTCCCCTGGCAGCTCATTTGCATCAGATATTCCACTCACCTCTGCAGGTGCCTAAGGATAGAGCTGCCCCCCCCACCTCCTCCACCTGGTCTCTTGACCTGCTGAGGGGACAGTAAATGCCTATTTCACCAACAGGAAAACAAGCTCAGAAAACCCTTAAGGGCAGAACAGAGTAGATATGCAAAGTAGGAACATGGAAGGCACAGCCCCAAAACCTTCCAGTCTGGAAAGTGCAGTATGTCTCCAGGACGAGGTAGAGCCGCAGGGACCTGCTGACAGGAAGCTGACACCATCTGGCTGCAACAGAGGGGTCTGGGTTACAAGAGAAGCCGTTACCTTTGCCGGCTCCCCCTTCTCTGGAACCACTGGTGTCCTCCCCTGCACCCCCTTCTCTTAGGGCCCCAGGGCCCCGAGGGCATCTCAGGTACGCGCACCAAGTCTCTGCTCTTCCGGTAGGTGCCAGAAACAGACAAACTGCTCTACGTTCCCCTCACGCACACAGGGACCCTGGCTGACACTTAAGTTACCTTGGGTCTGTGCTCCTCGGGGAGTGGCTGGCTCCGGAGGCACGCTGGCCTCCCCAGCTCCCAGATGCCACCGGTGGACGGAGAGAAGAAAACAGG